CGGTCTGCTGCCTTGCTGGGGGTTCTTTCTGTCAGTCCATCTTACCAGTGTAGTTGGTCTGGTTAACTGTTTCTTCAATTCTTTGGTTGTCGGAGTTCCATGCAGTTTGATTTTCTGACACTTCTGGTTGTTTACTGATTTTCAGTTGGTTGTTATTCTCCTTTTGGTTGTGTGAGGAAGTGAATGATTTCTACCTACACCTCCATCTTGGGTAGAACTCAGGGAAAGCCATTTAGAGGTAGGTAAATTTTTAGTTAACTTTCAGGTGGTCTTCTTGCTTTGTTACATAGAATAAGATCATTATTAACTTTTTGCACCTTCTTGTAGGTTCTTGGCATGTGTAGGAATTGAGAGAGGGGTTATGAGGCAGGTCAGGACAGTTGTGGTACATATTGGGTAGACTAAGACCCATCAACTTTAAAATGTTACCTAAATAGTACTGATGCTAACAACTGTTTCATGAGTATGAATCCACTCAGGTACAGTTCTATTACCCAGTTTAACCCTCCCAACACTTTGCAGGAGAGTGGTGTCCAGCATCACTGATTTAGAGAAGAGTAAACTAAGAATCTGAGGGCTTGTGTGGTTTGTCAGGGGACTGGTGGGCAGTAAAGCAGGATTTGACACCAGAACTTATTCCTATAACCACTATGCCAATTTGCCTCCAGAAGCTTTGGTTGGGAAGGCATTTTGTGACGTCTTTCCATGAGGCTTAGATAAATAACTTCTATGTTTTAGAGCTGGTCAGGACCTTGCAGCCATTCTGGAAACTCCTCTCCTTTTGTATGTATAGAGAGTGAGACCAAGTGCACACAGCAGGAGGCCCTGAACAGGCCAAGGAGAGCTGGCCCCAGGCCTCTTAACTTAAAACCACTGCTTTCTTCTCCAGCTTGAATCAGCATTCAATTCAAGAAAAGAAAGAAAAAAAGAATCTCTTTGTATACCTGAAGTGGCTTATTTCAGGAGAGATGTAAACTAAGCCAGAGAGATACACTTGGGTATCAACTTAGAGACTTTCAGGAGAACCTCCATTGACCTTCTTGGTCTCATACCAAGAATACCAAGGATTTCATTACAGTAGGTAAAGAATTATGTGAATGTAAAAGCACGTATCATCCTACCTGTTTTTAGGCTTTTGAGTTAGTTTATCCTTTTAATAAGAAAGGCCTATTGACAATGATATATGTCCTACATATAAAAAAGGCCCATTTAAACTACTTGTGAATGCTACTTTGTTGTTTCAATTGTTAGTATCCCTTTATACAGAAAGTGTCAAAAAGAATTACAGTTACAGAACAAATATGAAAATAATGGCCTGCTAGAGCAGAGGTTTGGAGGTAGAGAAGGGAAACAAAGGAAGGGGTAGTGGTGGTATATTCTTCATCAACCCTCCAAGAGATTGTAAGCTCAAAGACTCTAGTTTAAATCTGTTAATTATAGTGGCACCATGCTGAGGTAGTATAGCAGACCATGAGGGTTTAAATACTTGCTCTGCCTCCTTGAACTTGGCCAGATTATTTAACTATATCTTGATTTTCTCAGCCCTGGAGCCAATAATAGTTTTTATCTCACAAGGTTGTTCTGGGAATAAAATGTGTTAATACATACAAAGTGTTTGGAAGAGTGTCTGGAACCTAAAAATCATATCATGAATATTTTTTTAATTTATTGAATTTATTAGGGTGACATTGGTTAATAAAACTTTATAGGTTTAAAATGTACAATTACATAATATATAATCTGTGTATCATATTGTGTTTTCACCACCCGAAGTCGTCTCCTTCTGTCATCGTTTACCCCCCCATTACCCTTATCTAATTATCTCCACTCCCATGAGTATTTTTTATGATGCAGATGCTGCTTAAGGAAGACAATAAAAGAATTAAAAATCAAAATTTCAATCATCAGAGAGTAGGAAGAGGGAGTTTGATAAAGCTTATTTTCTCATCTTTTAAAATGGGAGGTAACTAGCTACTGTTTAAAATGGGAGTTAACTAGCTACAGGGGAGTCCCCATTAGACTGTCAGCTGATTTCTTAAAAGAAACTTTGCAGGCTAGTAGGGATTGGCAAGACATATTCAAAGTCATGAAAGCAGAAACCTACAGCCAAGATTGCTCTACCCAGCAAAGATATTTAGAACTGAAAGGCAAATAAAGAGCTTCCCAGAAAAGAAAAAAACTAAAGGAGTTCATAATTACCAAACCATTGTTATATGGAATGTTAAATGGACTTATTTAAGAAAAGAAGATCAAAACTATGAACAATAAAATGGCAATAAATACATGCCTGTCAACAATTGAATCTAAAAAACAAACTAAGCAAACAAGAACAGAGATAGAATCATGGATAAAGAGAGTGTTTTGATGGCTGCCAGATAGGAGGGGGCTGTGGAGGAATGGATGAAGAGGCGAGCAGACTAAGGTACTTACAGAATAGTCATGGGTATGTAAAGGATAGTATAGGACATGGGGTAGCCAAATAATTATATGCATGACCCATGGATGTGAACATGGTCAGGGGTTGCTGGAGGAAGTGGGGGTGCTGGGTGGAGGGGAGGAAGGGTGAAAAATTGGGACAACTATAATGGCATAATCAATATAATTAAAAAAGATAAAGTTGACAAATCAAGAAGTCAAGGTGTAACTATATTTATGGTTATGGAGGCAATCCTTAGAATTGAAAATAGGTATAGTTAAGCATGGTTACCACTGAGGAATGAAACGCAGGGAGTGGAGAGTTTTTTTTAAAAAGATTTGATTTATGTATTTTTAGAGAAAAGGGAAGGGAAGGAGAAAAAGGGAGAGAGAAACATCAGTGTGTGAGAGAAACATCAACCAGTTGCCTCTCACACGCCCTCAACTGGAGATCTTGCTCAAAACCCAGGCATGTGTCCTGACTAGTAATAGAATTGGTGACTTTTCGGTTTGCAGAACAACACCCAACCTACTGAGCCACACCAGTCAGGGTGGGAGTGGAGACTTTCTATTTTGAGTTTTTATTGCCACATATGTCCCATTTTGAGTTTTTATTAACATAAGCATGCATTTATACTAACTTTTATTGATGAGTCATTAACCTCACCTATTTAAAGCATATAATTTAATAAGTTTTGATAGGTGTACACTTGCAAAACTGTTATCACAATTAAGGTGATAAAATATCCATCACCTCCACTCTTGAAAAAAAAACAGGTTTAAGCTTCTTAATCGAAATAGTCTGTGTTTAGGAATTTATGGGCTTAAATCTCTTTGTGCTACAGCATCATGTGATTCAGAAAACCTTTTTTTTACTCAGAGTATTTACATTTAATGATGATACCATGATGAAGTCTTCACGTGGTGTTCTTTATCCTGAAAAAAAATCTATACAGCTAATAAGAACCTCTGGTGATTTTTTTTAATGATCTGTTTTTCATAGAACATCCAGTGGTTAGATGATCAGATTTCAGACTTTGGAATGGGGAACAGACGATTCAGGTCTTTCTCAGACCATTACCACTACACACTTGTAAAAAGTTCCTTTCATTCTCTGCAGTGTTTCTTGTGTTCTGGGCTTCCCCAATGCACATGCTGCATGTTCAAGTAGCATTCATAGGCTACTGGTGCAGGAAGAACTTTGCTGAAATCAGTGTTCACATTCAAGAAAACTTGGCTTCCCCTTGCGGGGGCAGCAACCCAGGCTTCCCCTGCTCTCCTCTGCTTTCTCAAATTGAGCATCTACTTCTTCCCACCTAGAGCTGCCCCTCCCCAGGCAGCAGGGGCTAGGGATAGGTAAGACAGCCATCCTTCTCTTGGTGGAGCAGCCATATCTGGGAATCTAATCCTGGAGTCCCCAAGTGCAAGTTGGAAATATAATTTCTGCAGAAACCAGGTTATATTTGTGGTTATCTAGGTTTTGTGGTACCATTAAAGCTATAGCTGAGCTATGCTCTGGGTGAAATGTGGGAAGTTTTACGGTTTTTTTGTTTTGTTTTATTTCTGTGGGCTGGTTTGGGAGCAGAGCTGCCTTTTTATATCATTGTTTCTATAGGGAAAATGCATTCAATATTCCAAGCAGATACACAAATGAACTTTTCACACACTGCCTGTTCACAATGGCTTGTCATAGTGCTTGAGACAGGGGTTTGTGTTTAAAATAATGTTGTTTGTCTTAGCCTAAGGGCAGTCAGTTTCTTCAAACCACAGACTTACCAAAAAATTATGGGACAAATATGTTAAGATTCATTTGATATTGAATGAAACTTATAGGGCAAATGTGTTAGGATTGGTCTTGTTGGTTTTATGTAGAGGGATATGATGTTTTTTATGGAATGGGCTGATGAAATTAATGACATTTTGCAATGGTCAAGAGTAACATGTTTATGATGATGATGTTCTGTATTTTAACTAACAGGTTTTCAGGAGGCCTGATATAAGGGTAAGGATGTTTGGCAGATGGGCCTCCTACTTGTGTGTCTCTGTGCTTTACTGAACATTGAGTCTATTTAGTGTTCCTTACCTTCTCACTGGTTTTTATGAGTCACTCGGATCAGTTTGCTTTGCTGTGTCATAGCTTTAAGTGTTCACTGGAAATGCTTTATTTGTTACAATATTTTTATGTACAGTAAAAGCTAATGTGTGTGAGTACAGGATGCTAAAATTGTTACCAGTATGTAATACTGACTTTTGTTGTGTTACATGAATTCTGACCAAATGAATCTTCATGGCAGGGTTTTATAAGGCTAGGCCTATAGAGTCCTCTTTTAACCTTGTTTATTATGTAATTCATGCTAAACAATTTAGCAACGGCAAAACAAGAAAGTGGTCAGTTGTTGTCTATCCTAAGTAAGAGTTTGTCACTTTCATGTCTGCATGCTGAATCCAAAAAACAGAAATGCTAATCCTGAAGATAAGTTAGCAAACTCAGTCCCATTTAGTATTTCTTAAAACACAGATGTAGCTGTTACATCTAGTGGGTTATTGCTTGTCTTTCTTCATGATTTTCCTTCCCTTTATTTCAGAATATTCATAAAGCAAGACAAAGATTGGTAATGTGCATGCATTTAAGCCTGAGTATCAGATGTTGAAAATTAACCTATTCCCATTAAATGAAAACAATGTGGATTATGGTAGAATAATTTAGTGACTTCAGTTTTTAATTTTTAACCTTATCGAAGCCAATAAAGTAGTAAAAAAATAAACAGGTTAAGTCAAATTCTTATGATTCTAATTGGTTTATCTTTATTTAATCTTGTTTTCACCATGTTTTCTTTCACTCATGAGAATCATTGTGTTTTACTGATTCACATTGTTAAATATTAGTGTTTGGCTTTACACTTGCATGGACTTTGAAATGCTATATGTTTTTTGTTGTTTAGTTATTCACTTTTCTGTTTTTAAAATTTTGTTGAAGAATGATTCCATTTTCTTTGTTTTTGAAAATGGAAATTTCAAAAAACTGGCTGCATTTTAAAAAATTACCCTTCTTTGAATGGTAGCAGTACCAATGTGTACTAAACTCAATTTGACATAAAGCATGAAAACATATTAAGTAGCAATTTCACTTTATTGACAAAAATGAAAGGTGGGAAATAGTAAATTCTTTTAAATCTTTGTTTCTTTTTCACTGATTACCCTTCAAAGAAATGTAGTCATTGGAACCAAAGTTTCATGAAGGAAAAAATATATATATCTATGCTAAATTTTAATATTTTCAGCCTAGAGACTTGATACAACTTTCAAAAGGGGTTAAAAGTCTTGTCATCTTCAGTATTCATATTCTTTATACCCTGTGCTGTACTAAATGTCCAATTTTTAAAGTTTTAAAAACTTTTTAAAAGTTTAAATAAAGATGCGTGACCTCTGAGTTGCTTCTTTTTTTAAAATTTTATTTATTTATCTTTAGAAGGGAAGGGAAGGGAAGGAGAGAAGGAGAGAAATAATCAATGTATGGTTGCTTCTGGTGCATCTCCTGCTGGGAACTGGCCCCTGCTGGGACCTGGCCTGCAACCCAGGCATGTGCCCTGATAGGGAATCGAACCGTGATCTTTTGGTTTGCAGGCCCGTGCTCAGTTCACTGAGCTACACCAGCCAGGGCCTGAGTTGCTTCTTTGAAGCATATTGGTACTATAATTGGAAATATTTTTAATATGTCCATTCATAATTCATAATATTTAATTAGTAACAAGCAATAAGTACCAGATTATATGTATACTTATATGCATATGTATGTCTCCAGCATGTGATATGTGCATGTGCATGTTTGTGGAAATTTTGGTAATACCAGCGGAGTTGATCCCTGGACAATATAATAATTCTTGATAGTATGTGAGTACTGCTTGATTTTGCCCTTTACCTCATTTCTGTGGTGTGCTTTATTTTCTATGAGCATATTGTATGTCTGTTGTTTTTTTCCTTTACTATATGGTATAGTATGTGTTGCTTGATTTTAAAAAGACAGTACATTTTTGAAATCCATGATACTTGTTTGCTTCTCATTTTTCTACCCCAACACAAATATAGAATAGATACTTGATTTTAGCCTGAGGATGCTATAGATGGCCTACATGTTGTTTCCTTACCTCCAAGGGGTGAAATGTTATGATTTGCAAAGTCATGAAAGGTGTGTCGACTTTTACATGCTTACTGTCTCTTTAAAAAAGAAGTTCTGTCCTTTCACCTGTCTGTTTGCACATGTTTCTCTTTCTCCTCTTTGTCTTTTCTTGTCCATGCACCTGATGCTGTGCAGGAGATTCAGGAAGAACACAATGGCTACCCTTCTGAAGCTGAAGCTGATCAGGTGGCAAGTGCTACATGCTCATCTGTTTGTAGCTACAGATTGTGTATTTAGAAGCCATTTCATACTAGATTTCTAGATGGTAAACAAATGCTTTTACCACTACAGTAGGGTTCTCCTGTCCAAGTTTGATAGATTCCATTATGACATTATTTGCAAGAATTGGTTTATCCAACATTTTGTCAACCAGAAATTTGTTGATTCTCAGTTTTCCCAGTAATTCTCAGTTTTCCCACATAGGGTTATTGATGAGCTAATGAGTCTCAGTTATGACAGGATTCTGAAATGCCTTTACAAAGACTTAAATGGGACAGATGCACATGCTAAGAGTGCTCCTTCAGGGTGTAAACTTGGAATTTTTCAAATGTGTGTGGTCTGTGCCCAGTGTGGTACGTGCTACCTTGTATTTGTGGAATGAGTCCATATAGTTTGTATTTATTAACAAGAAAAAAAGTCATTCAAGTATTCTTGAGTGCTTACTCTGCTCAGTACTTCTAGACCCTCTGGAGTCTTTTAAAGCAACAGAACTTTACACAAAGTTTATGAAGTAACTTAATATGTGAAAGTTGTAAAGTGCAGCTCCAGCAAAACATGGCAAGTTCCCATGCTCAGCTGTGCCTTTGCCTAGCCCACCCTCCTTTGGTAACTCTGGAAGCAACTTGAAGAGCCCAATTTGAAAACCACTGCTTTTGGCATGCAGTGGTTATACAAACTTCCCACCCAGCACCTTAGATTCAGACGAGGAGAAAAGTAGTAGAGAAGCCAGAGACATCCCACAGGTTCAAGCCCATGGGGACAAATTCAGGGAGCTGGTTGGCCGTCAGCTGGTCCTATAGGGTCACCAGAACAGGATTTGGATGGGATCACCAGAGCAAATTTCTCAACTGGGCAACAGTTGGTTCAAAGGCAGCAAGAGGAACAGGTGTGTTTATGAGATCAAGTTTCATCACAAGAATCCATTCTTTGATTATGCTCTACATGGGTTGGATAAATCAAGGGTCAAATCATGTCCTGTGCAACTTGGTAGTTGCAATCAAACCTTAATGTAGCACAAGTGTGAGTCCCATTTCCTAACACCAACTTTCTAAAGGGAATCTACTATATTCACCAGTGAGCCTTTTAAAATTGTTCTCATTTTGAATCCCTATGCTAAAGCTAAATGTGTTTCCTGTACAAAAGAAACCTTTTGTGGGGAAATCTGAAGCAGTGAGCTTATTTATTTATTTGTTTGCTTTCTCATCACTTAAAAAGCATGTTCCAGATTTAATTATTAGTCAGAGGTTTGTCTCACTGTCTTACCAACACAGTCATGCTTCATATAAATGCATAGGTATTTCACACCAAATTCAGTGTGGCTTTCAGAAGAGAAGAAAAGAGAAATGTTTGATCTCCAACCTCTATCTTGAGAGCTTTGTACATTCTCAGAATGGTCCCAATCACCACTTTCTCCCATCTGCAACATTTTGCAAGGGAGTCCTGGGGTTGAGGACTCTACAGGGTTTGATGTGGCTCTATATAAGGCTTCAGGTGAGTCACATTTTCCCCCAGCCCTTCCAGATATAGTTGATTAGAATAGTTTGCTTTAGGAAATATATTTCAAAATAACGTATCCTCATTTATTTCAAAGTATGAGTTAAGGAATTTAAGTCTATATAATATAATATTTAGCCATTAAAATAAGCTTTAGCAATGTTATATTTGAAGTAATACAAAACTTGGATATTGATTAAAATGGCTTTTTTACATTGTAACTATATTATAAAATTACTTTCTAGTTAAAGTAATAAAGTAAAGAAGGTGACTTTCAAATTAAGGCTTCTATTAAGGATTAATGATTTTTTCAGTGTTTCTAAAACTAGACATTTGAATATATAAATATCAGTTTATACTTCCACGTGGAAAAGATATATTTCCAAGTCAGGTGTGAATATAAAAATCCACAAACACTTCCCCATGTCCCCTTTAACAGTTCTCTACCTCCATAAAATTTTTGGCTGAAGAGTGTTTTAAAAACTAATCTGGACTAAAAATTCAAATGAAATAAAATTGTTTGGAGGTAACCTGTATTATTTTAACTGGGTTCTTGGTAAGGAGGAGGACTGACTGTCATTGTGTGCCCTCCCCAAAGAACAGATCTATCCTGACCAACATTTAGCATAGAATGTGCTCTTTATATTTTTACCTTTTTCCTTTCTTTATTAAAAAAAATTGATGAAACTGCTGTGTATAGTGTTTTCAACTGACTCCCTTTAGTAAATATTAGAATATTATTTTAACTACGAAAAGCAGTATTTTGAATTTTCAATAATTAGAATTAAAAAGTTATCAGGTTTTAATGTTTTGCTTCACAAAATTATGCTGAAAACTTAGTATTGTCCAATCTGTTTTCCTCTGAACACTAGTGGCTTGATGTTAACAGGTAATTTTTTTTTTTTTTTTTTTTTTTTTTTTAAGAAAGCAGTCCCTGATCAAATAGGTATGGGAAATGCAGCATGCATGCTCTAGCGCCCTCTGCTGACATGGCGTACATTAACACGCTAAAGACATCTCACTTAAAAAAATTTTAACTTGTTTTCTTTAATTCTGCATTTCCCAAAATTTTCACAAAAAAAGACCTATTCACAGCTCTTGTAAATTTAATGCTCTATGACACACAGCTTGGGGATTTCTGAGTTTTGAATACCTTATTCTTATTCATGATACATTGTGTCAGAGTTGCCAAGGAGAAAGTAACCAGCTTCCTTGGCAACATCGCAATGGGTGGTAGTACCTTGGAATAGGCACTGAGTTCAGGCTCTGGTCTATAGCTTTGTAGTTTGGGGGCAACAGTTTTTCAGCTCCCCTGAGTTCTCTGGCACTATCTAATCAGACTCATAAGAAACTGGCTACTGGACTGTAGTGCCAATCTGGATATTTAGAATTGTGGGCATTTACCCACATTTATACCCAAGCACCTTATAATGGTCATCCATATAAGACATCCTTTTCCTAGTATCAGTGTGGGAAACCTAATACCTCATTATCAATTTGTGGAATGGACACAAAGTGAATTGGCTTCAGAGAAGCCTAATGAACACACACTGCTCCAGTATCCTGATTGAAATATTCTAGTTTTGCCAGGTGAGGGCACATTTTCCCTTGGCATGGATGGGACACATATTGACAAGCTCCAGCGCTTTGTGTGTATGTACACATACACACACACACACACACACACGGTAGCTGGGGTGCAATACAAAAGCCTAGGGCTTTCCTTGGTAATATCACTGCTCTGAGACCCCTCCCTGACTACTTTAATTAGACTTCAGGGTTTCTCATACTATCTCATAGGCTGGGTCATTTCTATAGCTAGCTAAACACCTACATCTAATGTTGATTTTATTTGTATTAGTTTCATTCTCAAAAGGTAACTTTTTTTTTTACTTTATTTCCAAATTCTGGAGGCACCTTATAATAGCTGTCTGTGTAGCGATTAAAGTATGTATCTGTTATGGTCAAGCCATATATGTATTAATGCTTTCTAACTGTGAACTTTAAATATGTGTAATAATTTGCTAGAATATGCAGCATGGTGTCCTGTGATGCTGAGCTTTGAAATTGTCTTGTAAAGGGAGGGGGGTATACATTTTGCATGCTTCTGTAGCTTTGTAGTGAGAGCATAGAACACCACAATTATTCCCATACATATAGATAGAAAGTGGGATTTACTCCTGTTTGTTTTATTGCTAGGCTCTAAGGGATGGAAATAAGCTGGTACAGATAGAAGAAGCACCTCTTTTTCCAGGAGAATCAATCAAAGCTATTGGTAAGTTTAATGTGTATGCTTTGCTTATACGGATCCATAAAATGATATAGTACTTTCCTTGTGAGCACAGGTGATGTAAGTACTAAAGATCAGCCAGACCAGTTTCATTAGGGGACAAATGGACTAGGCCTATTCATTCTTATTAATGTCCCTATGACCTTAAGAGATAGAAGACTATAGAGAATCACTTTAAACTCTGAGCATTAGTTGGCATTACCAACAGAAGAAAGGCCCAACTTTTCCTAATGAAATGAAGGCTGATCAGACCTTTGCTGCATATCAATTCATTGCTTTGTTGGAATCCTTCACTATAAGGAAAATATATCAAGGAAGTAAAATTTTAGTGCAAGAAAAGGGTGTGTGTTGCCACCCTGGATTATAAGGGCAATGGCCTAGGGGGCTACCATATTCCCCCCACTGTGGACTAGCAGGCATTTCAGCAGGTAGTACACTGTACCATGGGTAGATGGTAGAACATCTGGGTGCAGCCTTTTCATCTCACAATTGCTGGGGTTCAATAGGACAGTCTACTATTCTAGGTTGAGTATTGCCTTTTTTCCTCAGGGCTTCCTTCCAAAGATGTGTGCTGTCTCAGAGTATAGTCACCTTGTGTCAAGAACTTTTGAGTGAACCAGAGAATCGCGGTTCGATTCCCAGTCAGGGCACATGCCTTGGTTGCAGACCAGTTCCCTGCAGGCCAGTTCCCAGCAGGGGACGCACGAAAGGCAACCATACATTGATGTTTCTCTCCCTCTCTCCTTCCCTTCCCCTCTAAAGATAAATAAATAAAATATTTTAAAAAAACAATTATACTTAAAAAAAAAAAGAACTTTTGAGTAGCTGGACTCTCCTACCAGGGTATACAAACAGCTGCCCACACTGAATATCCTCTTCTGTGGCTCTGGACCCTGCTTATTCATCCTTGCTTTGGGCACTTTTTTTTCTTTGGCTTCTGGCATTTTATTCACTCCTGGTGGTCTTCTGGCCTCTCTGGCTGTTCTTTCCTTAGGAGTTCTTCTAGCCCTGCCTCCATGCTGCTTTTGGAATGATCTGTTTAAAATGCAGAGCTAATTATATCTTGCCTCTGCTCCTGACAGCAAACTACACAGATTTAAAGTAAACATGAAGAGCTTTGATACATTATTCACCTGGAAAACCATCATCACAGTCAAAATAATGAACATATTCTTCACCTCCCAGAAGTTTCCTTAGGCCCCTTTATAAACCTTCCCTCTCATGCTTTCTCCCCATTCTCAAGCACTATAGACTAGATTATATTTTCTAGAGTTTTCTAGGAATGTAATAATTGAGTATGTTCTCTTTCTTGTTTAGTCTCTTCCACTCAGCATCATTATATCGATGCTCATTCATGCTGTGGTATGGGTCAACAGTCATTCCTTTTTATTGCTGAATTGTACTCCACTGTATGGATGCAGCACAGTTTGGTTATCCCTTCATTTATTGAAGGGTATTTGGGTTGCTTCTACTGTTTGACTATCACCAATAAAGCTGCTATGAGCATTCACAAACAAGTCTTCTCTGGCCTCACATCCTGTCATCTTCATGCACTCTTTGATCCAGCCATACTAACCTCCAACAACTGGCTGCTCTCTTTCCTTTCCCCCAACCCACCTCCCTCCTGCTTCCCTGCTGGGTTAAGCTGACCCTTTCCTGAGCTCTTACCACATCGTGCCCATATGGTTATCACAGCATTTATCAGACTATAGTATAATTGTCATTTTCTGTATAGTGCAATCATAGGTCATGGGCTGCTTGTGGGCAGGGACTGTCTCTAGTTATTACTAGAACCCCAACAACAGAAGCCACATGGTACATAATGAGTTATAGAAAACTTTAATGGAAGTGTTTGGCTGAATGACAACTTTAGTACCTTTCATTGATCCACTTGGACTTATCTTTAGCTATGTACTTTCCTGTCATGCCAATGGAGTGGTGCTTTGGGAAGATCATGAAGGCGTGGTAGGCGTGAGGTTCTTAGCATTCATAGAAATCAAATATGCTGATACTGATATTCACAGGCAAAAAATGAAGATCAATATGGAAGCTGATAAAGAATTTGAAGGAAAGAAGCCTTTTTCTATTCCATTGATGTGGTTCTAGTTGTTGTCAATCTGTAAAGAAGTTGCTTTTTGGAGATGTACTAGGGGACAGTTTTTAGCTTTACTCAGTTTTCATTAGCAGTAATTTATTAAATGGTAGCCCAGGGTCTTGAGTTTAATTAATATATTTTTGATATGACTAATTTATCAGGGAAAAAAGTTAACAACCTGGAAAAATGACAAAATGTAGCTTATTATGAAGCCCTTTATTTAAAATCTCATTAAGTACCAAAACATAATTTTATTTGCAAAAAAGGAATTTTATTAGAAGACTATCTATATATGTCTTTATTTAAAATAGTAAATTTAAAATTTCTAGAAAACTGGAAATTTTATATACATGCTTGTGTTAAGATTTATTGAAGCACATGTCCATGGCAGTAGTTGATACTTTGAATTTTCTCTTTCAGTGAAAGATGTCATGTATATCTGCCCATTTATGGGAGCTGTGAGTGGAACGCTGACAGTGACAGACTTTAAGATGTACTTCAAAAATGTGGAGAGGGTGAGTTTTTTAAAGTGTATTTTAGTTTTTAAGAACATTTCAGAAGCAAGTAAACAAAAATAAGAAAGTAAGAAGTACCCTGAAAGCCCACTACCGTAAGAGAACCAGAAGGTGACTTTTTAGATGTGTAAAAACAGATTTTGTTTTCTTTAAAAAATAAAGCTGTTAAAGTAGCACTTATATCCACAAGGGAAGTTTAATTGTAGTCTCAACATGTACTTCAGAAAGCATGTTATAAATCAGACTTCAGTTTCTCAGCTGGGACAAAGTAAACAAATGTGTTTTAAGCCAGTGAAGACTTAAAATATGAAAACTCTATTGACTGACACTAACAGGCATTCATCTTAATTTGTAAACTCAGGACCCTCATTTCATCCTTGATGTTCCCCTGGGAGTGATCAGCAGAGTTGAGAAGATTGGAGCACAGAGCCATGGGGACAATTCTTGTGGTATAGAAATAGTGTGCAAGGTATGGTACCAACACTAGTAAAACTACAAGAGGCAGTCAGCTGGGAACTTTTTCTGACATATTTTTCCTGGTCTTTGGACAGTCAGGGTTATCTGTACTGTTAGTAACTCAAATGTTTTAGGACAGTGACCTCTTCAAATCTCGTATCCACCAATTCATATCATTATGTAAACCATTGAAGCAAATCTCTTTTTCTGTTAAAGTATTCTAATTATAATGGATCGATAACCTACATGCTGATATTATTTGTTGCATTTTAGAGAAATTAAGTGGAAAATAGAGATTTATATTTTTCTTCAGTTTTGTTGTTTTAAGACTAATCTTGAGAACAACAGAGGGTCAAAGACTTCCTAAAGGGACAACAATAATATGACCTTTGAACATTGTGGGGCTTAGGGGCACTGACTGCCTGCACAGTTGAAAATCCACATATAACCATTGACTCTCCAAAATTTAATTACTAATAGTCTGCTGTTGACCAGAAGCCTTACTGGTAACAGTTGATTAACACGCATTTTGTATGTTGTATGTATTACATGGGGGGGACCCAAAACCCCCCTGGAATTTATTTATGAAAATTGTGTATTTATTCTTCCATGTTTAAACTTCAGTCACCTTCAAAGTACCCTCCATTTGATGCAATACACCTATTGAGATGTTTTTTCCATTACTGAAAAGTTTCTGAGCTTGTTGATTTTTTAAAATACATTTTATTGATTATGCTATTATAGTTTTCCCTTTTTTCTCCCCTTTATTCCCCTCCGCCCTGCACCCCCTTTGATGCCTTCTAATGCTTCTGCCAATTTTTGCTTCACTTCTTCCACATTGACAAGATATGTCCATTTGGAAACTTTTTTTTTATCCAGGGGAAACAAAAAAAAAGTTGCTCGGGGTGAGATCAGATGAATAGGGTGGGTGGGACATGGGGGTTTTTAACACTCAGTGTGATGTGGGCAGGTGTGTTCATAAATCACCCATCATGAAATGGGCACATGTGCTGAAAGAGTCTTCAAAAAATTCACTGAACTCAATTTCAGCCTCTCACAACAATGCCAGCTGTTCCACTGATACAGGTGGGTTCCTTAAACACTCACCTAGCTGGGGAAACCTTTACAACAAGGGGCCCACTTTCCAGCAGATAATTTCATCTTTTAGGAGGTCACCCCCATATACTATATTCTTACAGTAAGGTAAGCTTAGATTAAAAAAAAAATGTTATTAAGAAAATCATAAGGAAGAAAAAGATATTTACAGTATTTATTGAAAAATTATGCGTATAAATGGACCCACACAGTTCAAACCTGTGCTGTACAACTGTCAAACTGTATTCATAAATTCTATGATTAAAAAGACAATTAAGTTCCTTGGCTACATTACAATTTTCACCTGAGCTCTGCTTATTTTTTTTTTAATTCTCGCCTGAGTATATGTTTATTGATTTTAGAGAAAGAGGGAGGATTGGGGAGACAGGGGATAGAGAGGCAGACAGAGAGAGAGATGGAGAGAGACAGACAGACAGACAGACAGACATCAGTGTAAGAGAAAAACATTGATTGGTTGCTTCCCATATGTGCCCTGACTGGGAATTGAATGAGCAACCTTTTGGTCTATGGGACAATGCTCCAACCAACTTAACCACCTAGCCAGAACACTGTGCTTATTTTTGGTTTTATACCCTTCCTCAAAGGGTTAATTAGAAATGTATGTGATAACTGGAGAGATAATTAGTCACTTAAATGCCTTAACTGATGTTCTGTATTGGAAATACAGTTTATTAACAACCCTACCTGAAGCACTAGGAAAAAGGACCTGCCCGCAGAATCATCAAAGTCCCTTCCAAACTTGGAATTTGGATTCCTGCCCATCTGTTTGATTTGGTCAAATCTCTGAGGACAGCTCCCACCTCCTGGTTGGCCCTAGACTATAGTTGAAATCCCTTTTAAAAAAAAGACTTTACTCTTCCATGTCACAGATCTTTGGGCTCACAAACTTGCTTTGGGCAGTGCATGGCTGTGCTGGCCTTTGGTGGTGATAAACTTCTTTAACTTAACCTTCTCTGGGAAGCACTTTATCTGCCCTTCCATTGTAAATGAAAGATTTGCTGATAGCGTAGTCTAGATTTTAGGTCCTTGCTTTTCATCACTTTGAATACTTCTTGCCAGTCTCTTCTTACCTGCAAAGTTTCTTTTGAGAAATCAGCTGACAGCCTTATGGGAACTCCTGTGTAGGTAACTCTCTTTTTTTCTCTTGCTGATTTTAAGATTCTCTATCTTTAACCTTTGGCATTTTAATTATGATGAATCTTGGTGTGGTGCTGTTTGTGTCCATCTTGTCTGGGACTGTCTGTGCTTTCTGAACTTGTATTTCTATTTCCTTCACCAAATTAGGGAAGTTTTCTTTCATTATATTTTTCAAATAAATTTTTAGTCTCTTGCTCTTTCTCTTCTTCTTTCAGCACCCCTATGATTTGGATGTTGGTATTTTTGAAGTTGTCCCACAGGCTCCTTAGCCTTTGCTTGATTTTTTGAATTTTTTTTCTACTTGCTATTCCGATTGAATGTTTTTTCTTCCTTATGTTCCAAACCATTGATTTGAATCTTGGCTTCATCCACTCCATTGTTGATTGCCTGTAAATATTTCTTTATTTCACTTAGTGTAACCTTTATTTCTGCCTGGGTCTTTTTCATGCAGTTGAAGTATCCAATGAGTTTCTTGAGTATCCTAATAACCAGTGTTTGGAACTCTGCATCTGACAGATGGCATATCTTCATTTTGTTTGGTTCTCGTTCTGGAGTTTTATTCTGTTGTTTCATTTGGGCTATATTTCTTTGTCTCCTCATTTTGGCAGCCTGCCTGTGTTTGTTTCTGTGTATTAGGTAGAGTAGCTTTGACTCCCAGTCTTAGTAGCATGGCCTATTGTAGAAAAGCGTACCCATAAGTTGCATGGGGTAGAGCCTTAGGTAATTGCCAGGGCCCAGGAACTGGTGTGAGCTAGGTTGATGGAGTGTCAGGTATGGTGCTGCCACTCTATGGCTCTGCATTGAAGAGGGCTCAGAAAAGGGACAATGGTTGCTGCCAGTCCTCTGGAGTTTTGTCCAGGAGGAAGCTGTCCCCTGGATACTTGCCCTGATACCAGACACTTCAGTTTCTCCCAGTATGCCACTGCTGCCCTTCCAGCTGCTACCCTGGTGCTGGAGCTCAGAGGGAGTGAGTCTGAGTAAGTCCTGAGTCCATTGTGGGCCCTTTAAGAGGACATGCCTGAGAATCCCACAGTTTCTTCCGCTGCCCCAACTTCCACTTGTTTTTATAGACAGTAGTGATGGGGACTTACCTTCCTGGCACTAGAACCTTGGGCTGTGTGGTCTGGTGTGATCCCTCTCTCCCAAGATATTCCTCCTGATTTTTATCTGACACATGTGGGTGTGGGACTACCCATTCTACATCTTTGCATCTCTGTTCCTCCTATCCATTTGCATAAAAATGACTTCTTTAATTCCTTGATTGTTGGACTTCCATACAGTTCAGTTTTCTGATGATATTGGCTGATAGTTATATAGTTTAGTAGCAATTTTTGCTGTGGTTGTGAAGAGGTGAGCTGTGTTTACCTATGCCTCCATCTTGAACAGAAGTCCCAAGATTTAAAAAATATTTTTTTTATTTATTTTTAGAGAGAAGGGACAGGAAGGAGACAGAGTGGGAGAGAAACATCAATGTGTGGTTGCCTCTCATGTGTCCCTTACTGGGGACCTGGCCTGCAACCCAGGCATGTGCCCTGACTGGGAATCAAACCAGCGACCCTTTGGTTTGCACACTGGTGCTCATTCCACTGAGCCACATCAGCCAGGGCCCAAGATTTTATTTATTTTTTAGAGAGAGGGTAAGGGAGGGAGAAAGACAGGGAGGGAAACATCAATGTATGAGAGAAACATTGATTAGTTGTCTTTTGCATGCATCTGATGGGGAACCTGTCCCACAGCCCAGGCATGTGCCCTGACTGGGAATCAAACCAGTGACCTTTTGGTTCACAGGCCAGTGCTCAACTCACTGAGCCTCACCAGCCAGGGCAAGCCAGCCTCTATTGATAGACATTTAGCTTATTTCCATTCTTTTGCTGTTTTTATACATACACAATATCACAACAATGACTAATTTGTTTGTAGTCCTTATTTTTTCTTCTTCTCCTTGGTTGTACTCTAATAAGTTTCTACTTTACCTTGATTTTTTTAAATTTTATTTTATTTAAGGAGTTCAAGTACAGTTTTCTGCCTTTTACCCCCATCCCAGCCCACCCCCCAGTGCTCCCCACCTCCCTCCCATTTCCAGCCCCTCCCCCCATTATTGTCCATGTGTCCTTTATATTTGTCTCTGAAAACTCGTCCTCTTTTCTTCTGAAATTCCCACCCCTTTTCCCTCTGGTCACTGTCAGCCTATAGTCCTTCCTATTTTTGAATTTCATATAATATTAAAGAGGAATGAGCTTTTTGTGTTTAACAGCTGTTTGTTTTTTTTCATGTTTTAAAATATATTTCATTGATTATGCCATTACAGTTGTCCCATTTCCCCCCTTCATTCCCCTCCACACCCCCTTCCCCACCATTCCCCACTTTAGTTCATGTCCATGTGTTACAAGTTCTTTAGCTTCTACCTTTCCCATACTATTCTTGCCCTCCCCCCATCTATTTTTTACCTACCATCTATGCTACTTATTCTCTGTAACTTCTCCCCCCTTCTCCTTTTCCCACTCCCCTATTGCTAATCCTCCATGTGATCTCCATTTCTGTGGCTCTGCTCCTGATCTAGCTGTCCACTTACTTTGCTTTTGTTTTAGGTGTGGTTGTTAATAACTGTGAGTTTGCTGTCCTTCCACTGTTCATATTTTTTATCTTCTTTTTCTTAGATAAGTCCCTTTAACATTTCATATAATAAGGGCTTGGTGATGATGAACTCCTTGAACTTGACCTTATCTGAGAAGCACTTTATCTGCCCTTCTTTGCTGGATAGAGCAATCTTGGATGTAGGTCCTTGCCTCTCATGACTTGGAATACTTCTTTCCAGCCCCTTCTTGCCTACAAGGTCTCTTTTGAAAAATCAGCTGACAGTCTGATGGGAACTCCTTTGTAGGTGACTGTCCTCATAGCTCTTGCTGCTTCTAGAATTTTCTTTTTCATTTTAATCTTGGGTAGTGTAATTATGATGTGCCTTGGTGTGTTCCTCCTTGTGTCCAACTTTTTTGGGATTCTCTGAGCTTCCTGGAAGTCTATTTCCTTTGCCAGATAGGGGAAGTTCTCTTTTATTATTTGTTCAAATAAGGTTTCCACTCATGATTGTTCCTCTTCCCCTTCTGGTACCCCTATAATTTGGATGTTGGAACATTAAAGAAGTCCTGGAGGTTCCTAAACCTCTCCTCATTTTACTGAATTCTAATTTCTTCATTCTTTTCTGTTTGGTTATTTCTTTCTTCCTTCTGTTCCACTTGATTGATTTGAGTCCCAGTTTTGTTTCCATCACTATTGGTTCCCTATACATTTTGCTTCATTTCACTTAGTGTAGCCTTCATTTTTTCATCTAATTTGCAACTAAAATCAACCAGTTCTGTGAGCATCCTGATCACCAGTGTTTTGAACTGTGCATCTGACAGGTTGGCTATCTCTTGGTTGCTTAGAAGTATTGGCTCTGGGCCTTTGAGATGTTCTTCTTCTTGTGCCATAATGTTTTGGTCTGTTCATGCCTGTTATATATGAGGGGTGAAAGCTTAGGTGTTCACCAGGGCAGGGCAACCCAGCTGCTGGGTTGTGACGCTGTATGTGGGGGCAGGGTCAGAGAGGGAGCAATGGCGTTTGTTCCGCTTTCTCTTGGATTTTGGTCCCATCTGCCAGTTCACCACAAGTGCCCTTCTGGTGCTGTTTCCCAGGTGGGTGGACTTGTGTACATTTTAGAACCCTGTGGATCTCTCCATTGAACTTTCCTGTGAGGCTGGGAGCCTGTCCCGGCACCTCAACCCCCGAAATTTTTTCCAATTGGTGCTTTTAGGCTTTAATTCCCATCACTGGGGCCCTTGGTTGCGTGGTCTGTTTCACTGTCTGTTTTTTCACCTGGTTTATCTGCGTTTGAATGTGTGACCGTGGTCAGCCAGCTACCTTTTGCTCTTACTGGGTCTGCCCATTGCCATCCCACACCTGGGGTCTGCCAATCGCTGTCTGCACGCTGGCAGCCACTACTTTTCTGTGCTGCGACCCCTCTCTGCTGGCCGCCAACTCCGCCCCTCTAACCAGCCTGGATGAATTGTTCGTTTTTGTTGAACTTTGGTACAGTTCAATTTTCTGTCTGTTTTGGTTGTGTTTTTGTTTCTAAATCTTTGTTGTTCTTAAATTTGGTTGTACGAGGAGGTACAGTGTTTCCACCTATGCCTCCATCTTGGCCAGAAGTCCTAACAACAATTTTTTAAGAAGGTCATGGGGCACTGCTCAAACCAGTACTGGGAAGAAATTGTACCATCAGAACCACCTCTGGGAACTCTCCTGCCTACCTGTATTTGGGCCTTCTGCTAGCAGCTTACATGGTAGGGCATTGTAAGAAACTCATCTTAAGAAAGAGCATTATAATTTTTGAGGACCCTAGCATCTTCATGACAGAGGCCTTTGCTATAAGTACTGGGAAGAAACCTCTGTCTCATTTCTGTTTTATGGACAGTGCAAAATCTGTAACTTATTTCTTTTTTTTCTCACTTTTTTATTGATTATGCCATTACAGTTGTTCTATCCCCCCCTTCATTCCCCTCCACCCTATCCCCCCGTCCCCACCATTACCCCCCTTTAGTTTATGACCATGTGTCTCAAGTTCTTTAGATTCTATATTTCCCATACTATTCTTGCCCCCCCCCCATCAATTTTCTATCTACTGCCTATGCTACTTATTTTCTGTACCTTCTCTCCCCTTCTCCTCCTCCCCCTCCCCTATTGCTAACCCTCCTTGAGATCTTCATTTCTATGTTTCCACTCCTGATCTAGCTGTCCTTTTAGTTTGCTTTCGTTTTAGGTGTGGTTGTTAATAACTGTGAGTTTGCTGTCCTTTCACTGTTCATGTTTTTTTTAACTTCTTTTTCTTAGATAAGTCCCTTTAACATTTCATATAATAAGGGCTTGGTGATGATGAACTCCTTGAATTTGATCTTATCTGAGAAGCACTTTATCTGTCCTTCCATTCTAAATGAAAGTTTTGCTGGATAGAGCAATCTTGGTTGTAGGTCTTTGGATTTCATGACTTGGAATACCTCTTTCCAGCCCCTTCTTGCCTGGAAGGTCTCTTTTGAGAAATCAGCTGACAGTCTGATAGGAACTCCTTTGTAGGTGACTGTCCCCTTAGCTCTTGTTGGTTCTAGGATTCTCTCCTTCATTTTGAAATCTTGGCTAATGTAATGATGATGTGCCTTGGTGTGTTTCTTCTTGGGTCCAACTTCTTTGGGACTCTCTGAGCTTCCTGGATTTCCTGGAAGCCTATTTCCTTTGCCAGATTGGGGAAATTCTCCTTTATTATGTCCTTTGCCAGATTGGGGAAATTCTCCTTTATTAATATCTCCTTTATTATTCTCCTTTATTATAAAGGCTGTGCCTTTCCCCCTTCTGGTGCCCCTATAATTTGGATGTTGGAGCGTTTAAAGATGTCCTGGAGGATCCTAAGACTCTCCTCATTTTTTTGAATTCTTGCTTCTTGACTCTTTTCTGTTTGGCCATTATTTGCTTTCTTCTGGTCCACTCCATTGATTTGAGTCCCAGTTTCCTTCTCATCGTTATTGGTTTCCTGTGCAATTTCATTCATTTCAATTAGTTTCGCCTTCATATATTTGTCTAATTTGTGGCTATAATCAAGTAGTTCTGTGAGGATCCTGATGACCAGTGTTTTAAACTGTGCGTCTGAGAGTTTTGCTATTTCTTCATCGCTTAGATTTATAGGCTCTGGGGCTTTGAGATCTTCTTGAGCCATTTTTGGTCTGTTCTCGCCTGTTAAGTATGAGTAGCGGAGCCTTGGACTCTCAGGTCGCTGGGTTGTGACGCTATATGTGGGCGCGTGGTCAGAGCGGGGAAATGGTGAGGACCCCTTCTACTCTTTCTCCCTGCTGGGTAAGGAGCAGAGCTTTAGGTGGTTCACCAGGGTGGGGCCACTCAGGTGGCTAGTTTATGATGCTGTATGTGGAGGCGGGGTCAGAGTGGGAAAATGGGGGCACCTTCTGCTGCCGCTTGCCGCTGGGGCCTGCTCAGTCCCATAGTCTCACCGCCCACTCCCTTGCTTGTCTATCTATGCATGAAAGTGCGACCACAGTCAACCTGCAGCCCTGCCCCCTCGCTGTTTCCCCGTGGTCGCTCGCTGGGTCGCTCACTAGGTCCAACCCTGCACCTGGGTTCAGCGCGCCCGAGTCCGTCTGTCTGACCGAGTTTTTCTGTGCAACCCCGCTCTGACAGCTGCTGGTTTCGCCCCTCTTACTGGTCAGGCTGAAGAATTTGTTGTTATCAAACATCCGAAAAGTTCAATTTTCTGTGTTCTGGCTGTGTTTTCTGTTGTTAACATTTAGTTGTTTCTAAACTTGGTCGTGAGAGAAAGCACCGCTTCTCCACCTATGCCTCCATCTTGGCGGAAGTCCTGTAACTGATTTCTTAATACTCTAAAGCTTACAATTGATTGTGTAGCACATCTTTAGGAAGCAAGTTCGCAGAACTTGATGGCATGTGTTTTATGTACTAATCTTATTCTTGGTTCTATCTGATGAGTTTTCGCTAACACATCCATGCCCGTTGTTCCAATTTCCTCACTTAATTTTTTAAAAATCTTGTTGGAGATGTGTTTTTGTTAATTACCTCTTGTTAGTAGGAGCAAAATAGAGTATAAACATGAGAAACAAATAAAAACATTTTATTGATCTCTTATAGCATGGTGTCTGCCTCATAGATACTCAATACATGTTGAATAAATGAGTTTTGTTAATTGTTTAACAGGATATGAGAAACTTACGACTTGCTTATAAACAAGAAGAACAGAGTAAACCAGGAATATTTGAAAACCTCAACAAACATGCATTTCCTCTTTCCAATGGGCAGGTAAGTACACTAAAAAAACCCTTTTTGTATGCCTTTGTGGGGGCCTCAAAATTTTATGTTTTATCAGTCCTTTTTTATTTCTTTTCTCTCTGTTGGTAACTAATATTAGAATATTTAAAATTTGTCAGTTCTGTGTAATGATTAAGAAAACTGGTTATTTGTTATGTCAGCATTTACAAATTAAAATAGGAATCTTAATACATTTAGCCCATCTTAATACATTCAGCTCATTACTGAACGAAAGCTTTAATATTGGGCATATGACATAGCAAAAAATGCTGATATGTGTCATTTGTGGGTTTTTTATCCAGACAGTCTTTGCATTCAACTATAAAGAAAAATTTCCAATTAATGGATGGAAAGTTTATGATCCAGTAGCTGAATATAAGAGACAGGTAAAGTATGTTGCTTATCCAACTAAAAGTAATAGGTCGAGCATCTTTTTCTTTTCTAAAACATTAGAAATGTTATGGAGAAGAAACCTTTTGAAACAAGTTGTGCATGGGTATAATTTACCTAGTTTATAGGTTCTTCACCCCTGGGATGCCCTGTTCTCCCTATGCCAAACCTTTGACCCTGCCACATCTTTTTAACAGAGGCAAGTAGAGTACAAGGACTGGAGTTTAAAAAGGAAATTGACCAGGTGGTTTTATTATTAGATATTCTAGTAATGAGTTGATGACTCAGGATCAAAACCAATGGCTTAAATTATATATATATATATATATATATATATATATATATATATATATATATAATTTTTAAAAATATTTTTTTATTTATTTTTCGAGAGAGTGGAAGGGAAGGAGAAAGAGTGGGAGAGAAATATCAATGTATGGTTGCCTCTCATGCGTCCTCTGCTGGGAACTGGCATGCAACCCAGGCATGTGCCCTGACTGGGAATCGAACCGCGATACTCTGGTTCGCAGGCCCACGCTCAATCCACTGAGCTACGCCAGCCAGGGCTCAAATTATATTTTAGATATATAACATGACTACATGTGTCTGTTATGGTGTTTCTCTACCAGAAGCTCTTTAGTGCATGGTAAATTTCAAGATCTTCCAATAAGATTATTTTCATGACATTTAATTTTTGTCTCCACCTTATATTTGGTATGGTAATATATATTACTTATTTTAGAGATCTGTAAGAAATTTCTGTGTCTCTAAAGGACTTTCATGAGTATTTTCAAAAACAACACTATGGTCATTCTTTATGGAAATACTACAAGAAATTTATAGGTCTGAGATTCTAGCATATAACTTTCATTTTTTAGTCTGTTTGGAAATTCTTATGCTTCATTACATTTTTAAATGGGTATGGAATGAGTCATATTAGATAGATATATTTTTAAATTTTTAATTAGCACTTAACAAATTATAAGCAGATTTTAGTAGAAAACAAGAAAGGTATGTGGATCATGCTTAGTACTTTCTGAAAGTGTAAAAGTATGCTTTCCCCCCTCTTCTTTCTTCTCTAACATCCTGCAGGGCTTACCAAATGAGAGCTGGAAAATATCCAGAATAAATAGTAATTATGAGCTCTGTGATACTTACCCTGCCATCATTGTTGTGCCAACTAGTGTGAAAGATGATGACCTTTCAAAAGTGGCAGCCTTTCGAGCAAAAGGCAGAGTCCCTGTAAGTAATAAACATTGTCATTTAAGTATAAACTTATATTGCACCAGATCTAATATGGAAAAAAGATAGAAAAAATCTAATGAACAAATGTAAAGTACAAAAATAAGCCTAAAAACCTGAACATATTTTTGATTATCAAGAACTACCTAATTATATAAACATTCTGTTTCCTGACTCTGCCTTGTTAACTAAAGTTATGAGTGTAACTTTAGTTCTAAAAATGTAGTAGAGAATAATGAAGGATAGCAAGAAAAGGTTAGCATGCTATTGCTTTAACAGTTTATGTCACTGGTTTCGCCAGCGCATCCTAGAGAATGCATTCAAACTCAACACTCGTTCTTAGGTGTTGAGTTCAAGGCTGAACACTAAGTGGGAGGGACATCATTTTGAAAAGAAACATAGGAGTCAGCAGGGGGTGAGTTTTTAAAAGAGATTTATTGAGGTTTAATTGATACACAAAAACATATCACATGTTTAATGTATACAATGTGATGAGTTTGGACATATGCATACCCCAATGATACTGTCACCACAACCCAGGAGGGACTGAACATTTTTGAACCTGGAGTTTGCAGTATGGTATAATCGTGAGTCTTTTGGCCACTGGAGGAAAACAGGGTGTTTGGTGATATAGCTTTAGATTTTTTGAGAGACTGTATATTCACTTTGTCCTCACCCAGCCACATATATCATTGTTGAGATACAAAGATGCTTTTAAGTAAAGAGACAAAATAACACTAGTCAATCAAATAGGAATGGGGCCCAGTGTTAGTATAGTTTCTTTTTCTTAGAATTATAGAAGTTTAGATGTGAAAGGGGATTTTTAGAGCTCATCTAATGGGATCAGCGACTTTTTTCCTGACCCAAATAATTGCAACTCATAGCCACTATCATGCTGTGATGGGCCTGACCACTCATGTTTGAGGAAAATATACAGAAGAAACTGTCCTTGACGAGAGAACTTGTTTTTACTACCTGGTAATTAGAACACACACTGTTTTAGGAACCGTACTCATATTTGTTACTTACAAACACTAGGTATTGTCATGGATTCATCCAGAAAGTCAGGCAACAATCACTCGATGTAGCCAGCCACTTGTGGGGCCCAGTGATAAACGCTGCAAAGAAGATGAAAAATACCTGCAGACTATAATGGATGCTAATGCACAGTCTCACAAACTTACCATCTTCGATGCCCGACAAAACAGTGTTGCTGATACCAACAAGGTACATTCTTGATGATGTTGCAGAACCTGTAGGTTTTGCCTTATGTACTGTCTATAAATTGTTATGCAATTCAAATAGCCCATTGACTTCCTCCCCATCTGTAGGTGAAATCTTTCTGAGTAGTCCATAGATATTCCTTCCTGGGGTATATCTTGTGGATGTCTCATGTGGGTTGGGATCTTGTGTCTATCATTGTTCCTCCACAATCTTGTCTGCTGAATTAATTAAGTAAAGACCCAGAAAGAGAATTATCACCTAAAGAATCAAGTAACTATTGTAACGAAATGGTTGTGAGGTCTTTGTAAGTTTCTTTAACTTGTGAAATATGGTGATTGCTTGATTAACTCATATCTGGTCTGAAGCTCTGTTAGAATGGAGTGAACTATGTGAAAGTAAACAAGTATACAAAGTTTCCATAAATCACATGAAGCAGTGGCATCTGTAGATCATTCCATTTGATTCCCACTAGCTAAAGGGGATAGGATCCTTTATACCTAACAGTAGCTATAACCTCAAACCTCCAGTATCCACTATCCAAAGGGAAAAGGCTTGGAACTGAGTCATTTCTATTTCCCATGAATGACTTTCTGGCAATGGGTTACTATAGGTGGGTATTTGACAGTCAGAGTGCTTGGCCTTTTCCACAAGTAATTTCATGTATCAGGAAGGTGGTAACAGTCCTTATCATCTCATGCCATTTGGTTAACAAACGTGATGAGCAATTACTTGAGGGAATATCTCAACAGACCAGGTGAGGTGCTATATACACATGTCAACTCAGTGTGCTGGGGTAGCCAGGAGAGGGACTGAGTGGCCAGCCCTGCTTGTGAACCTAGGAAAGGCTTCCTGAAGGAGGGGCATTCGAATGGGCTTTGGATGGTTATCAGGAAGAGATAAGCAGGGCATTCTAGAGAACACCTGCACCTATTCAACAGTGTGCCAGAGCACATCATTCACAAGAGTGGCCAGAAGGGAGATGTCTAAGGGCATGGTAATGTCCCCTCATGTTCCTTTCAGCAGTGCTTGGGGAAAAGGGTCTTTGTTGAACCTCTTTTTTCCTCAGTATTTCATCGACCACAATTAAAAAAAAAAAACCCCACCCTCTTACTTCCCCCATCTCACTCTCAGGAGAAGCCATTAACTTTTACTTCAAGGAGCAAACAAGCCATCAGACATGCCATTTTCCCTTAGTACTTGAGTGCCTGCTGAGGGCCAGGCATTTGCTAGGTTTCTGGAGAGGCACCTACTGAATAAGCAGTCAAATGAACTGCCAAGTGGTCATCGTGGAGGAACATGAAGCATACTCTGAGAGACCATAGAAGGAACCTAGTTATTTGCTATGTGACCCTGGACAGTTACATAATCTCTCTGCACCATGATTGCCTCATCTCTAAAACGGCAATGACAGTAAATCTACTTCCTCAAGTGGATGTAAGACTACTGTAAAGCCCCTAGTACAGTACCTGTCCCTGTGAGAAAGCATTCAGGTCAAGTTAGCTGTCATTTTTACTGACCTCAGAGTGCACCACTCCATTCTCTTGACTTCTCTCTCTCTCTGGCCTGGCTGATTCATTCTCCTTCACTGGTTCCTCTTCCTCTTCCCAACCTACAAATGGCAGTGATCCTTGAACTCAATCTGGGGTTCCCTTTTCTATTTGTGCAATCTCCCTGAGCTATCTCCTCCAAACCCATGAATTTAAACACCCTCTACATATTGAGTTTGACATTCAAGTTTCTATCCCACCCTGATGCCTCCTGAGATTGAGACAGAATTTCCATTCCATTTTCTGGTTGACACTCAGGTAACAACTTGGCTGTTGTTACTTAGCTGTCTCCCAGGTAACAATTTCAGCATATCCAAACTGGCCTGAGAGTCAGGGTGTTAAGAACCCTTGGTTTGGCAATCAGTTAAACCTGGGTTTCCCTCCAGCTTGTGCCACTTGGTGCTCTGTTAGAATCCTAGGCCAGTTACATTACCTCTTTGTAACCCTCGGGTTCCCTTCTATGAAGTGGGAGGTAACCGTGTCTCATGTAGAGGGCTGTATAAGGATCAAAATTAAGTGAGAAGAATGCACATATAGGACTCAGCACAGTACTGTATACATCCTTGAAACTTAGTATATAATGTTGATAAGCTCAGTGATCCAGGTATCTGGCCTGGGGGTTGAGTTTGTTATCATTTCACTGTTCATATTTTTTATCTTCTTTTTCTTAGATAAGTCCCTTTAACATTTCATATAATAAGGGCTTGGTGATGATGAACTCCTTGAATTTGATCTTATCTGAGAAGCACTTTATCTGCCCTTCTTTCTAAATGGTAGCTTTGCTGGAAAAAGACATCTTGGATACAGGTCCTTGCCTTTCATGACTTCAGATACTTCTTTCCAGCCCTTCCTTGCCTGCAAGGTTGCTTTGAAGAAATCAGCTGATAGCTTTATATGCAGTTCTTTGTAGATAACTGTCCTTTCCTCTCGCTGCTTTTTTTTTATTTTTAAATTTTTATTTATTTATTTTTAAAATTTTATTTAGTTATTTTTCAAGTACACCCTCTTGCTGCTTTTAAGATTCTCTCCTTATCTTTAATCTTCGGTAACTTAAATATGATGTGTCTTGGTATATTCCTCCTTGGGTCCAACTTCTTTGGGGCACTCTGAGCTTCCTGGACTTCCTAGAAGTCTATTTCCTTTGCCAGATTGGGGAAGTTTCCCTTCATTATTTGCTTAAGTAAGTTTTCAATATCTTGCTCTTTCTCTTCTCCTTCTGGCACCCCTATGATTCAGATGCTGGCGCGCTTAAAGTTGTCCCAGATGATTCTAAGCCTCTCCTCATTTTTTTGAATTCTTGTTTCTTCATTCTGTTCCAGATGAATGTTTATTTCTTCCTTTTGTTCCAAATCATTGATTTGGAACAAAAAGTTTCGTTTTCTGGTTTCCTTCCCTTCACTGTTGGTTCTCTGTATATTTTGATTTAGTTCACTTTGTGTAGCTTTCATTTCTTCCTTCATTTTGTGACCAAGCTCAATCAGTTCTGTGAGCATCCTGATTAGCAGTGTTTTGAACTCTGCATCAGATAGGTTGGCTATCTTCTCATCGCTTAGCTCTTTTTCTGGAGTTTTGATCTGTTCTTTCATTTGGGCCATATTTCTCTGTCTCTGTACACTTATTATGTTGTAAGGGGCGGAGCCTTAGGTATTCACCAGGGCGGGACAACCCTCTTTGCTGCATTGCAGTGCTGTCTGTGGGGAAGGGGTTAGAGATGGAACAATGTTGCGCACTCTGCTCTAGCTCCACTTTCTACCTCTTTCCTCACTTCCCACAAACTGACTATGCCCTTTCAGGTACTGATTCCCATGTGAGTAGGTTTGTGGGAACTCTTTGTGAGAATGGGAGTTTCTCTTGTCTGCAACCCCCACGGGATTTTACAGCTAGATGTTTTGAGTCTTTAGTTTCCTGGTCAGCCAGCCTCTACCTCACCCATGAGGCCTGCAGCCTTGTTGTGGTTCCTCTCCACCCGGCTGCCCATCTCTGCCACTCCTGCTGGTGTGGATGAATGTTTCTTTAACTCCTTGGTTATCAGAGTTCCATGCAGTTTGATTTTCTGGCTGTTCTGGTTGTTTATTGTTTTTAAATTCGTCGTTATCCTTCTTTTGGTTGTGCGAGGAAGCGAAGCATTTCTACCTATGCCTCCATCTTGACTGGAACCCCTGAGGCTTCAATTTTCTCAACTGGGAGCCTTCCCTGCTGGTGAGGATTGACATGCTGATGGGTGAAGAGCATGGCAGACCTTCAACAAACACTGAACAGTTGGTTTAAAATCGAGGAAATCTGAGTCCATCCTTCAGCTGGCTGCTGGTATTCAGGTTTCTTTTTCCCAAGACAGTTGGGGAATGGCCTTATCTCCACTGCTATCAGCTTATTATTGCAGACCTGGGGGCTATTCAGTAATAGTGCCCCAATGTCACTACCTTCTCTCTAGAACTCTGCTTGTCCCCATAGAGAAAGGTCTGGCTACCAAGTTCTTGTCTTAGAGAACTCTCTGAAACCTTCTCCCTGTTCTTTTGGGGTATAGGTGGGGCCGCTTCTCACCACCCTTCCCCTTCTTCTATCTCAGAACCTCCAGGTGTCTGCTTTCTGCATCCTGGCTTGCAGTAGGTACTCATACTCTTTTTCTTTTAAAACCCCATTTTCTGATTGTCATTTGTTTTGTTTGTACTTAGTAATCAGATTCCAGGCAACAAATTCTCTTCAAATGCATTCTCCTGGTAAAAACCAAGTCTTAGCATGGGATTTTCCTGAGCTAAGCATGAGGCCCAGCACAGTCCCTCCGAGACCCTCTTCCAACACTCAGAGCTCCTTCAGGGAAGTGGGAGGCATTCCTCTACTTAGGTCATAGCTTCAGACATGGTAGATGCTTGAGGTAATAACATATCAGTTCTCAAGCATCTTTGGGGGTTGGTGGGCAAGCCCCAAACTTTCCATAGATTAGCTTCAATTAAAATAATTTCTTTTATTTTATTGATTCACTTACCAGTTAATCCCCACAGTGGCCCTTTGAATTTTTTATAGGTGAGAAAGCTGAGGTGCCATTTGGGTGGCAGAGCTGGGATTAAAAACCCACTTCCCTTGCCACTGAGGTCTGTGCCTTTGACCACTGCATAATGCTGTTCCTACCTTAGTCAGCAGTATTTTCAGCGGGTGCTTAGGTTTATTTTTTATGAAAATTATAATTATGCCATGGACTCAGGAATGAACTCTAAACTGCTTTGTCCATAGCTGGTGTTCAAAAAGTGTGTTAGTCAACTTCTAGTCAAGATGGCAACATAGGCAGACATGGCTCACCTCTTTGCACAACCACATCAAAATTACAACTAAAATATAGAACAGCCATCACTCAGAACCATCAGAGATCAAGTTGAATGGAAGTCTGATAACTGTGGAATTGAAGAAACCACATCCACTAAGACTGGTAGGAGGGCAGAGGATATGAAACAGGCTGGGTAC